TTAATATATTACATTCCTCTTAAGTGAGGTTTTCCTCACTTTTCTTAGAGTATTTGAGGAGTTATTCTCTCACCTTTATGTCTTGACACCGGAAGTTGGAGACACAAATAACAAGGGAAGGGTTGGTTTAAACTCAGCTGAATTGGTCGCTTTTAAGCACATGGGGGCTATCCTGAAAAATGCTGTTTTGAGAAAATCGAAAGTAAAGTTTTTGGACCCTTCCTCAGTTTCTTTAAAAGACACGGTGAGTTTTCTCTATAACCAAACAAATATACACACCAATGAAACCAAAGTTTTCCTGCACGTAGGGCAGTGCCCACTTTTGATGTCGGTCAAGATTTCTGGAAACCCCCGAAACCTGAGTTAGCCCGCTTGTCCTTAAAAGTGACCAATTCTTTCCCTACCGTACTATTTTCTTCACAGTAAGAAAGCCATTTTGAGGGCCATTTTTCATTTCTAGCTATACCCGGAAACTGTCCACAGTATTGGAACAGAAGAGTCATGGCCTTGTTAAAAACTCATAGCCTTCCATTAAATAACAATTTTTGTCGGTGGAAATAAATAAATCCACCATATATGTGAGAGGTGTAACTCTCATGAAATTGAAGATGAATTTCATTTCATTTTCTACTGTCCAAATTGTGTCCATCAGAGTTAATTCCTCCCAGCCTGACTCGGCCTAGTGACAAATTTTTAAAATGTGCAATGTTTGACCCATGATAAGAGATATGTGCACAACCTGTACCTTTTCTTTATGGAAACTTTAATTAACAAAATAAGTATTGTATATGATGTGGCCAATGGCCTTAAACAGTGAGTAAACTTACTTACTTACTATACTCTGAAAGAAAGTATTTCTTTTATTTCGTGTTATAAGAGAAACTCAAACCATTTTGTTTATCTAAATGCAGGGAACGCAAGCATTCTCTTACGGACAGTTCCTTCAAGAAAAGGGTAACCTGAGCTCAAAAGAGTTTTTATAAGTTGGAAGACGCTCATAATGTTATGGTCCAGGTGTAAAACATGGATTGCGCGAGCCACAAAATAAATTCGGTTCGCTCAGGGAAAGGAAAGAATGAAAAGACATGCGTGTGGCATTATGGTGAAATCAGGCAATCGTCAAAATAACGAACTTGAAGACACCGAAATGTTTCCGCCTTCTATTTTTTTCCATCGAAAGTTAGATAACTGAACAAGCTGTAAGATGATATCATCAATAACTCTCTGAGGCAAAAATTTGACGAACACCTAGATTCTAATTCTAACCAGGGCGTGACACCAAATGAACTGTTCAATCTAATAATGTTATACTTACGCGTAGAAACCAACCTCCCGTGCTCAGCAGAGTAAACGATCAAGACTTCATCACGATCTTTGTAGAAGTATTGCATAAACCCTGGGGGTGCCGGAGAAGAACAGTGATCATCTGAATGATTAGAACGGCCCTAAAAGTATTGCATAAAGCGTGAAGGTACTGTGAAAGAACACGGATCATCAAAACGATAAAAATGGCCCGAGAAGTATTGAATAAAGCGTGGATGCACGAGGAAAGCACACTTGTCATCTAAACGATTAAAATAGTCCTATTTTGTGAAACTGGCTATTTTTTTAATGGAGATGGTTTACATCGTTACAATTTAGATAATTTTAGAGGCGGGCTTCGATCCTGTCTATTAAGGCCAACCCAGGCTGAGAGGGATATAACGTCCCAGCAGAAAGAACGTGGTACATTTACTCCATAAAAATCCTCCTCAGACGAGAATCGGTCCAAGGTCTTAAGCAAGACTCTGCGAAGTGTCTAACCGCTATATCACAGATGTTGGTAAACTAACTTTTGAAGCGAGAATAGTACGATAAAGGACATTAATAAACATAATACAGACAGTATTCCGTTGATATTTAACACCCCCGGGTTGTTGTGTAGGTTTATTGCTATTTTACTAATTTTGGTTTTCGAAAAACTCGTGATTCTCTGGGCATATCGATGTTATGATTGAAACCAAATCATAAAAAAATAATAAATAAAACGTTCCTCAGAGCGAGGCAAGTATTTTAACATTATTGGCCTAAACAAAATTGCAGGTCAAAGGAAGTGACAACGACAATGTTGCTTTTCGAACACGTGCTTTGTTCAAGGGAACATGGCTTCTATATATTTATTTAATTCTTCCTGAACAATCTTGAAACTCAATTGAAACAGGTGGCGCGGAGGTATCATTAAATTTCATAATGCCCCTACCTAAAGTTATTATAGGTTATGTATGCTCAGTTCCTGGTTTTGAGAAATTTGACAAGCATTTTGGAAGGCAATTATTTGAATATCTAAATAATAACGACTCCGAACAATTTTACTATTTTGATAGAGTAGATAGAACATAATTTGGTTTCTGACCTCATGGTCTCAGCAACTCAAAGCAGCCCAAAATATCGGAAAAAACTGATGGCTGTGACGAGTAACATGACTTCAGTTTTAAGTAATGATTAATATAATATTGACCTATGAATGAAACCCTTCAAAAAGGGCATTCCTTCGCTCAGTTGCCATCATGCTGGACTACAGAGTGGATGGCCCTGGTTCGTATCCCCAACAGGCTGCTCTTCAACTTGAGTTGTTTTGGGTCAGCCGTATCGGAGATGGGCGGTGTATTTGGAGGTCGCCCCTCCTAAATAACCTTATACATTGTATGTAGTGTTGAAAAATCTTCACAACAACAATAAGATGGATAAGATAAGATAATCGTATACATGTAGTGTTGAAAAAATCAATATATATAACAACAATAAGATCGATCCGATAAGATAATATTATCGTATTTGTCCAGATGCTGACAAATTGGTTTGGTGTCTCACCAAACACACACGCGCGCGCGAACACAGAGAGAGAGAAAGAGAGAGAGAGAGAGAGAGAGAGAGAG